CCGCTGCTGCTGCTGTCGGGCTCCGGGGAGAGCGAAGCGAAGGGGAAGAGAGTCCCGTTCTCTGCCCAGGAGCTGTCCATGGCTGTGCGCTCCGTGTGTGTGCGCCTGGCAGTCAGGGGCTGCACATCAAGTCAAAAGCTGCCAGGTCCCTATCGTCTGTCCAAGCACTGGGGGAGCCGCGAGGCCCCGCAAGGTGGGGACTGATAGGCAGTGAAGAGGCTGAGGAGACTGTCAGTCACCGGGCTGAAGCACTGGCATGTCTTAGCCCTCTTCAGACCCTCCATCCCCACCCCCTAAGCACATCCACTTACAGACAAGCACAACTCCCCTCATTGGCACACACTGAATTAAACTACCTTAGCACCTCTAGCTAGAGAAACAATATCTAGTACACTCACACTACCTACATTAGGTTCTGTCTCTTACACAAGACAAATACACTTGCTTTTTTCTTGTATTCAGTGTCTTGTGTCTGCCTCCTATACACAGCAGTCCGTCAGACATTTAACCACAGGCACAGACGGACATTCTGTTAAGAAGCTACTTCAGGCAGGACCCATATCTTCCTTTGTATTGTTCATGGTGTTGAAGCATGCTGTCATCAGTCAACCAATAATAAAATATGTTTTATTGCAGATCTAGTGGAAAAACAAACACAAATCCCTTGCAATGGTTATTTCCCCTGATAATCTCTTGTGAAAGACCATGCTGTTTGAAAAGAGAAGCAAGAGATATCCACTGGGTCACCTTTGCCTTCTGTTCCCTCTATTCCATCCCCCAAAATGCTAACAAATATTTTGAACCAATAAAGGGTTGACAGAGGATCTTTGCAGGGATGGACTATGAGCAGACACATTTCAGTCCGTGCTTGTGGCACAAAAAAACCCTCTATTAAAGTATTAATATTATTTTCTGATTTTTGGTGCTTAATCTAGCTCAGCATCCTAAAACAAAATGAGCTGATCATAACAATATCATCCTAATTGAGCAATGTCAGATTTACCATGGATACATTAAGGGAGATCCAAGGTCATTCCCACTAATGGAAAGAATGTGTAACAGCTGTGACATGGTTGAGGCATGATGAAAAGCTCTTTGGCCAGGTCAAATTAGAGCAACTTTCTGCTGATGATGGGCTTCAATAATGAGCAAACTATGCTTAACTAAGAAACTATATGATTTAATTAATGGCAATAAATCATACAGTTTGCTGCTGCTGCCTGGATCTAGACTGGGGTGCTAATCCCCTCTTTTGCTTTCCAAACTGGAGCTTCATGATGTAATTATAAAAATTAACCTTGGAACTTACAAAGTAGAAATTAATAGTATATTTTGCATGTGTTAGCTGGGATGCAGAATCCCCTTTATGCTTTCTGAGAAGGGATTTGAACCTTTATCTCTTACCTCCCCAGTGACTGGCCTAAGTGCTGGGCTAGGCATTAGTCCAACCTGGGACTTCCCTTGTTCATTTCTGCTGAAGTTGCTACACTTTCAGGACATATTCATCAGGTCAAAGCCACAATAACAGCCCTTTGTAGCTTACTGCTTGGTGTGTGCCCAGAAAGTGGCACATTGGGGTTTACATCCCCCTGCTGATCTCTTACATCTCAAGTGACTGGCCTAAGAGCTAGGGTAGGAAGTATTCCAATGTGCTGGCTCCCTCAAGTGCTTCCTTTTGAGGATGGGCCACTGTTGTTAAATAATTAAATACTCCGTGAGGCACATGTACTCCATGAGACTCTGTGTAATCCAGGGGTTTGGGTGCTTGCCCCTTAACAGCACACGTGCTGATTCAAATCCCCTTTATGCTCCCTGAGAAGGGATTTGAATGTTGATCTCTTAATGGCCTCAGTGCTAGTGGTTGGAGGTGGAGACTCCTTCAGTCCTTTCCTTTGATGGCTGGTCACAATCTGTAAATATGAAAGAAGATTTGGGCTACGTAATCCTTATGGTGCACTCTATGTTCCTGTGCTTTAGGGACCGGCCTCAGAGACAAGGAGGTGCTGGTTCAGATCCCCCTTCTTCTTTTTCTTCCTGTTGAGAAATGATTGGCAGTGTACTCTATTACGGTCAAGTGTTTCATTTTAACTATACATTAAGCAGGGCACAGTGAATTTCCAAAGCCCTCTGTGGTGTGGGGGTTAAGGTGCTCACTTGGGGGGGTGTGCCCTGGGATCAAATCACTGCTCTGCCAGGCGGGAGGGCCTCTGCTGTGTGGGAGCAGAGACCTTGTAGCTGACAGGCCATTTGCAGCCCCTCTTGTTGTATTAATTAATTAGAGGAATCGTTGCTAAAACCCCCCTTCACTCTTGTCTAGTATGACCGAGATACAGGCCCAAGTATCCTAACCACTAGACTCTTAGCTTGTGGCCACTTTTGCCTGTTCTGCTAGGGATGACTTCTTCTGGTGGTGTACTTAATAATTAAATAAAAACTATGACAAAACACTGTTGTAAGACTAATATCATCAAGGGCCATGAAAACAGTCATTCCCAGTTTTCAGTTGCACATGGTCACTCTGTAGACATTTTGATATCAAGACTAAGACCTGGTGTATACTAGGAATTTAGGTCGAACTTAACTGCAGTAGGTCAAATTTCTAAACAATGAGTCCATACCACCACGCCCATTCCATTGACTTTAAGGACCATTAAAATTGATTTTAGTTCTCCAGCTTTTCCCAAGGAATATATTACATTCATCCTTACATGGTCAACTTCATAGTAGTGCAGATGGATGCTGTGATAGTTGAAGTTCTTGACCTCAGGGAAGTGTCCCACAGTGCCCCATGGTGACTGCTCTGTCCAGGACTTTCAACTCTACTGCTCTACAAGTAAACAGGAATAGCCCTGAGAAAATTTGAATTTCATTTCCTACGTGGCAGCAAGGGGAGCAGACCTCAGAGCAGGCAGCACACCTGACTATGAGTTCCCAGGGTCGCAGATGAGCAGCAGCATGGACTCATTGCTGTGTGGGGAAAGGAATCTGTTCGTGCAGGACCATAAACCACCAAAAAGAAGCACTGATATCTATGCCAAGATCGCAAAGGGCATGGAGGAGAAAGGACACAGGGACACCCAGCAGTGCTGCATGAAAATAAAGGAGCCAAGGCAAGCGTACCAGAAGACAAAGGAGGCAGATGGTGTGGATCATTGCTGCAAACGTTGCTTTTATGAACAAC